ACTCAATTCTTTAATTTAACCTAAACACAGGTAAAACAATCCATAATTAATAAAAAAAAACACTTTCTGTCTTATTGTCCCTTTGATTAAGTAACTAGATTAAATAAGTTTCTTTAACTTTATAAGCACAATTGTTATATGAGTAGGGCAAAAAAGTGGATTTATTATAACAATATAAGCACATTAAAATGGACGGATCTATACGGAAGAAGGAAAAACAAAAAAGCGAATAAGGAATAAAACTTTACGTACTCATAATTATTAGTCTTGAAATGGATAAATCCCGATTTGATTCGTTCTACGGCATCTAACTTGTTGGAATCAAGTTCCTCTAACTCATCCGTTAACTTCTTGATCTTTGCAGCTGCCACGTTCCCGAGGTCCGAGTTCTTACTGCAAAATTGACCATTTCATGTTAACCAACAAAGTTTAGAAAACAAATTGTATTGACCAATTCACAAGGTACGAGGTACATGTATATGTGGCTAAATGATCTACGGTTGTGATCATCCCACAATTTGTAAAATCCAATATGTCGGATCTGATTGGGAGAGAAAGAGAGTACGTGTGTGTGTACCTGAGAAGCTCTCCGAGTCTCTTAATGGCATCTTCGTACGACTCTGTCGACATTTCTTTTCGTTCCAATGACACACACCAAAAACAAGAAAAATTTAGGTAAGAAAATTGTGAAAAATAAAGGATAAATGATTATCTGATTGACTTGAATATTAGACGTCAGATTCCTAAGAGACTCTAAGAAAAATACAAGAAACTGGTCGAGATATTTTTGTTTAACAAATAAAAAATATGCGCTGATGCGATCAAAATCGAAAACAAACGAACTTGAATTAGGATAAAGGGAAAATATGAAGGAGTTAACATTAAAAACAACCGGATATCGAAAACTATAATAGTTGTTTCATGTAGACGAGTGAACAGAAAAAGAGATCGAGATCATGATCATCATCTGAATGATCTATACAACCAAAACGAAATGATTTTGGTTTTCTAGACGGACCTTGGGAGGTGAATTCGAGAAAGATGATTTAGAGAGTGGTACTTGGAAATGAATACAAGTTTAGTTGATATAAGAAGATGCTCTCTACTAGCTTCTCTATTTATAGCCGACGATCTGTGACATTTTCTCATTACCCGGAATTGTATGCTTGTCTTTTTTGAAGGAAAAAAAATTCCTAACAAATTGGAGAATTTTATTTATTTATTTCTAACTAAAAAAGGGAAGGTTTGCTATTCAAACATAAATTTTCGGGCTAGAAAATAAAAAAGAGAATGGAAAATTTGAAAAAAATACAAAATTGTTTTGCATGGTAGAGAAAAACCCACCAAAATTAGCATATGATGAGGGAACAGAGGTAAATAGACACCAACATCTGTATCGGTCTTCTTTTTTCAGTTACTTTTGATTCATCATCTTTCTTTCGTATCTCCATGTTCTGTATCGGTTTTTTGATTTCAGTTACTTTTGTTTTTTCGTCAATGATGAATACTAGCTATGATTACATGGCCAAATTTTTAGAATCATTAAATAAATGATCAATTTTGCTGTCTAAATTTGAACTATGGATTTGCAAATAAAAAAAAAAAAAAATTTGAACTATGCACTCTAAATTTTACTATGAATGTATTGATCTTCTGTCTTGGATCTCAGAATATTTGTATAATGATCGTATTAATTAATATAAATTAATTTCGACGAAAAAATAATTATAAGGCTGAATCGTTTTCTGAATTTGGAATATTTTAAGTAGAAACTATGAGAGGATTTTATAGCATTAGAAATTCTAAAAATTATTTTTTCAAGCAAATATTAAAAATATTTTTATATATTCATATCAAATTTTGATATAATATTGCATATTTTTTGTTTTTGATTTTTCATAAATCACTAAAATGTTTTTGCCATACCTTTTTTTGGCACCATTAATTTTCCTTTTTAAGATTGATAACCAAATTAACCACGGTCGTCGTGGTAAAGTCTTTGCTGCGTTAAAAGTTACCAATCATACGATATGAGTTTTATTTTTGTAAGAAAAATGTCTTCTATTCAAACCTTTGTAGATAAGTGCTTTACATGCATGGAACGGAAAGGTTGTTGTTTTTTTTTTTTTTTTTGATAAAGAGAACGGAACGGTTGTTGGTTTATTAAGAAATTACATATATCACTTCTCATATTCAAAGTCAGTTTTGTGTCTAAATACATCTCACTTACTAGTCAACTATCGCTCATATATTCAGTAGGGAATTAGCAATAAGAGAGACGATCAATAAATTACTGAAGATTTATAGAAAAGTTAGTGTAAAATAGAAAACTTAGAGAACATAGTCTAGAATTTTATAAAATTAGTAAAGTATAATAAAACTCAACTCGAATCGAAACTCTAAAACCTCATCAAAATTTGTTTTCAGTTGAATTTCCCGTTACTATTGAGATATCTTATTTTATTTTTCATTGGTTCTACATAGCCGTAACTCATACATTTTCTTCAGAAACCACTATTTTGGCATTTTCTTCTTGTTTTGTTTTTCTTATATTATTTCTTTTGTTAAACATATTTTTTATCTATATTTTCAAATTTGTCGGGCATTGTATTGTTTTCTTCCACTATCAATTGGAATTTGAGGAACATGCATGTTTCATTGTCATGTACCTCATCGCTAATCATGGCCCGATTCAGAAGCAGTTGAATGTTCAATATATAGCAATAATATTAACAAGCTATTCCATATATAATTTAATACTATAGTTTAGTTGCTTCGGGTGAAAGATAGCCTGCAGAATTGAACGAAACTCAAGCGAATCAAATAAACAGGTCGCAAAATAGACAAATAGATAAACTTGTTTGATATTATCATGTGACCATTTTATTTTCAAAACTAAATAAATATATGTGACCATTTGGAGTTTTTTTTTTAAAATTAGTCTTATAGTCAAATTACTAGAAATATCCAGTTAATCTCTTTCTGAGATCATGCACGATAAGATGCATAAAACAAAGTCTTATCGATTGCATGATGAAATTAACACGTTGAAAGCTAACTAGATGATGGTCCGCATACTGCCGTAAATAATTCATTATGAAGTAAATTAGTGAAGATTTTGTATGGATTATATATACATAATAGGAAAAGAGATTTAGCTATAATAATAATAACGAGATACTATATGTGTTTAACACATTAATTGTAATGAATTTTATGATATTTTGGGGGTGAATTTCCGCAAGCAAATAAGAGCACAATGCGCTTTGCCACGGATGAAATAATCCGCGGAAACAAACTGCACAGCACACACCTCTCCACCAACAAAGACGTCCCATCCTAGCAAAGTAGGTCAATTAACCACTGTAGTTGAGTGTAATCGCCACAACATGTGTGCCACAATATGTGAGGCAACACATCATAGCCTCCATGCTTAAAATAGCCCAACCTAGAGGATATTCACAAATACACAACTTTTCTTGGCTGGTTAGACAAGAACATTATACAAAACTTGACTGATAGATACACCACCTCTCACACTCACGACCAGGACAATTGATAGATGAAAGGATCCCTCTGAAATTCCTCTTCTATTCATTTCTTAAACAACTGGATTCAATTCCTCATGATCAAAATCATCTCTAAGAGAGTTTCAATCTCACTTAGGGAAGTGACTTTTATTCTCCTTTACTTTTCCACTGACCAACATTTTAGGCTTTCGATCACTTCAACTAAGTGCCATAACTTTAACCCCCATATTACTCTTGAAAACCCGAATCCCGACCAATCACATTGATCCATTTTGACTATAACATGAGAGTTTTCAGAATTTGTTTTTCCCTCCCGAGAACTACCTTGACTGTGTTATAATTAGGTCATTGTCCTCTTAAAACATGATAAAAGGAACGAACCTTCATCAGAAACTGCAGTGAGCCTAGTGGAAGAACCACCTAGCTACCATGTTACCCTGCCACTACCAGATATTGTTTAATCTAAGAAAATACTACACGTATTTCTATTTATATGGAATTGGCTTATCGTGTAAAATTAAAATTTAATATATAAAGGATATACAAGATACTAAAGATACACTAGAGCAAAAAGATGAAATTGCGAATGTTGTAAGATTATACAGTAAACTTATGCCTTGCCATTTTAGTAATCATGGTTTAAAAAGTTTAGATAGGCTTAACCTAATTAATTAAGAAAAAAAAAGTTTCCCAATTTATTTACATTGGAAGATTTTCAAAAATTTCCGGAATAACAAACCAGGAATATGAATGCATGCGATGAGCAATTGGACTCAAGAATCGAAAATGGGCCGACATATTAGACATGTGGAATCGAAAATGTTACAAATTGTTATCAAACTAAGAAAAGTGTTTGTTCACTAGAAGCTCACACTAACAGAAGCTCTGCGTGAGGTTTTCAAAATCATAATATTTGTAGTCACTTTCAAACTGACTTTAAATCAAAAATTATTTCTCGTTTTATTTTTAATTATACTCCTTATATCCCTAATCAATCTAATTTTTAATTTAGTCACACATACTAAGAAAATATTTTAAAACTGATTATAAATATATCTATTTTTTGTGATTAACAATTTTTCACAATTATAAACCAATAATATTCAATTATTTTCTTAAAATTTATAATTTATCATTAATAACTAATAGAAATTAATACATAAAAACCTGAAAATGTATCTCTTTGTAACAAATTGTAAAATTCGGATTAATAAGAAAGAGCGATAGTATTAAATAGGTAAAGTCGTATTCTTGAGATAAAGAAACAATGTATAGAATTGCAACTGATACATATAAAGATTGAAACAACTTTTACACAAAGGAATGATGGACAAACAAAATCCAAATGATATTTCAATAACAAAAGAATTCATCTTACATCAGATAAAATGGACTATACCCAAGAAGAATAAAAAAGACGGGACATCAAATGAGACTTGGTGATCTTATTTATGAGTTTAATAGAACGATTTAGTAATATGAGGGTGGGGGAGGAGGAGATTTGTATTCAGTTTTTGGAGAAGGAGAGTATGATGGTGGTGGTGGAGAGCTGTAAACATATGGTGGGGGAGGAGATTTGTACTCAACCTTTGGAGATGGAGAATATGCCGGTGGAGGTGGAGAGTTGTAGACATATGGTGGAGGAGGAGATTTGTACTCAACCTTTGGAGATGGAGAATATGCCGGTGGAGGTGGAGAGTTGTAGACATATGGAGGTGGTGGAGATTTGTATTCAACCTTTGGAGAAGGAGAATAATACGTGGGTGGTGGTGGAGAACTGTAGACATATGCTGGTCGAGGAGATTTGTACTCAACCTTTGGAGAAGGAGAGTAATATGGTGGTGGGGGAGGAGAACTGTAGACATATGGTGTTGGTGGAGATTTGTACTCAACCTTAGGAGA